CAGGTGACCGCGCTGGGTCTTCCCTCTTCCACGTAGCGGGGCGGATCCGGGCCCACGGCGGGGGGACCCGGCCCGGGAGAAGGGCTGCTGCGCCGAAGACCCAGGGTTTCTCGCCGGCGCCTTGTCATTACACTTACAGTCACGTTCAGCATCGTTTTTGCTCTTATTAAATTTCATGCTTTAGGTTTCTCCTTGGAAAAAGATGGAACTAATTGCGCTTTAAAGTCTTGATGCGAGCAATGCTTCTCAGACCTTAGTGATGCGTGGACACCTTTTAAAGGAACAGTTAGTTGTCTTATTCTCCAGAACCCGGTTAGATGCACACTGGTGCGGAGCGTTTTCAGGGAACCTTCATCACTGTCAGGAAAGGAGAGACATGCGTTACCCTTCAGCACCTCCCCCGCTAAAAGATAAACCGGAGCTTATTAAAGAATTCTAAGTTAGTGACGCAAGTCCCTAGTTTAATTTCACTTTGCAGTTTTGACTGTGCCCTTCCTCGTGTAATGATAACACCTAATTCTCCAGCCTGGAAGAGACGGAAAAGACTCCGATTCTTTGTGTTGTATTTGATGTCATCTTGTCTTTGTAGCAAGTTTAATTGCTTGACACATGAGCAGAGTTAAAAAACGAAATACTAATTTGTATACGTAGTTCGTTTATGTCTGTGTTGACCTTAACATTAATTTACCACCTATGTTTGTTGCTTACTGAGTGTATGGTGTACCGTTTTCTAGCCCGAATAGAAATGCATGGTCTCAATCCTTGTGTACAGTCTAGAAAGAAGAAACAAAAAGAAAGTTCATCTGGGGAGTTATATATTTATTTATATTATATGTGTGTTTCCTATATATTTATTCCAGCATGTTTTTTTTAAAAATGAACAAAGTTTCAGAGTGTGGGAAAACAAGAGAAAGTGCAACAGATTAAATCTTTGCAAAGAAAAATATTGACTTGTGCCTTGAAGGAAGTATAATGTTGACAGCAGGACATAGTAGGAGGAAGTGACATTAAAGGGCCAGGGCAAGAATGAGAGACCCACCTCACTAGGGCAGAAAGATGTTATCTGTGGCCCAGGCGAGAACAGGTTGGTGAAATAAGATGGGATCCATTGGTGGAAAGTTGCTGTTGACCCCATGGGCTCCCGGAAGTTCTTGAGCTGGTTATGTTTTGAAGGTAGTGTTTTACAGGGAGCTATTTCTGAAGGGGGGCGTTCAGGGTGCAGGTAGAAGGTGAGCGACCTGCCTAGAGACCTGTGATGTGTTCTGTGGTCATGTTTGATGTGTGGATTTTTTGAGGAAGAATTGATAGCACACAGATAAGTGGGAATCAAAGTTGAGAACCAGGTGATACCCCTGGTCAGTGGTGATGCCTCTCTTAGACTTGGAGAACTTGGAAGGTGGTATTAATTTGTGTCAAAAGATTGTGACCACAGACTCAGACTAAATGAGTTTATGATAACAGCCATCAGTGAGCTCAGGATGTGGAACTGAAACTTGAGGAAAGTCAAACTTGCAGATTTGGGAAACGACAGAGGTGATTCAGAAAAAAGTGTGACCAGAAAAGGATCCCTTAACATGGGGACAACATTTTAAATTTAAAAATCAATGCTAAAGAAAATGTAGATGCTAATGCAATTCCATGCATTCTTCTTAAAACAAAGAATGAATCAAGTTGTTTTGATGTATTTTCCCCACAATTGAGTGCGCTGAATATCCTTCACTTCACCTTCCTTTCACTCTCACAAAAATTCTTCCTTGTAACCTCTAATATTCACATCATTCCTTTTTAAGCACCCTTCCTGTCATTTTCATTTTTCACCACAGGAACCATTTCACTTTACAATTGATGTATATGGTTTTCACTGTTTTTGTTGTGGGTTTTTTTGGTTTTTTTTCAGTGAGAGAGATGGGTTTCTCTGATGATAGGTCTAATATAATTTAGGCCTTTTGAAAATGTGGCATTTTTATGTAATACTAGAGACCTGGTGCACAAATTCATGCACCAGTGGGGTCCCTCAGCCTAGCCTGTGGGATCGGGCTGAAACCGGCTCTCTGACATCACCCATGAGGTCCCTGATTGTGAGTGGGCGCAGGCCAGGCCGAGGGACCCCACTGGTGCATGATCGGGCCGGAGAGGAACACGGGAGGTTGGCCAGCCGGGGAGGGACCACAAGAGGGCTCCAGGGCATGTCCGGCCTGTCTCACTCAGTCCTGATCAGCCAGACCCCAGCAGCAAGCTAACCTACTGGTCTGAGCATCTGCCCCCCTGGTGGTCAGTGCACTTCATACCTCGTGGTTGAGGGGCCTTAGCATATCGTTAGCATATTACGTTTTGATTGATTCAGTGCCGACTGGTTGACTGGACACTAGTATATTAGACTTTTATTACATAGAGAATTAGTAAGACTTTGCCTCCCTAAACTGGTGCCAACATTCTTAGCTGCAAAAACAATGGGAGTTTACACGTTAAGATCAACTTACCATATTGTTGATTGCTGGGTAATATTCAGCCATACTTTTGTCCTAAATAAAAGTAATTACATCAGCAACTTATAAACTGTCCTATTTTCTCTTTGCCTTTAAACACAAGTTTTATAACATAGAAAAATACCTATTTATCCTTTTTTAAAAAAATCCTCACATCTCGAAAATAAGTCCTAAGACAAACACTAGATTAAGTAACATTTACTAAATTTGCTATGATCATTCTAAAAATGTATTCTCTATTCTCCCCCATCCAAAGTTGGCCTCTGACTCAGGAAGTGGTTCCTGTTTACCAGCCTTCCTTGTGGTCTCCTCTGAACTCTGTTAGTCCAAATAATTTAACTTTGTTGTACTCTTAATTATTTCCTGGGTGCTAGTATTATCTCTGTAACCCGTCTGCAAACTCCTTGAAACTGGAGTAAGGTTTGTTATTCCTCAGTGCCCTTTATGGTATGCATCATTGAATCATTCAAGGCCTTCCTTCCCCCAAGGACTTTAGGCTGTTAACTAAAGCATTCTTTTTTTTTTTCTTTAGTTCAACTATCACAAAAAAATGTTTAGATCAGAATTCCTGTGTCATGAAGAGTTTTTAACCCAGAAGAGGATTTGATGCTGGAAACGGAAGATATCAGTCAAAGGTAGCTTGTTTAAATAGTTCTGTTGTGTGTTTTTTTATGATAAAATTAATATGTGCCCTTTTAAAAATATAGTTAAGCCTAAGGAAAAAAGTAAAGATGATCCATTTCTCACTACTCAGAATTAACTAACCACTGTTAACATTTTGGTTTCTCTCCTCCCATTTTGCCCTCTCTTATGTATGGTGTATTTTTTTCACTGAAATACCATGGACATCTTTTCCATGACAATAAATGTGGATCTGCACGATCACCTTTAATAGCCACATTGTATTCTGTTTCATAAATGGACCATGTTTAACTTAACCCACCCCCAGTAATACACATTAGTTTAGAAACAATGTTTTGCTATTATGCACAATACTATGATAGGCACATAGTTTTACCCTGTTGTTTTCTAAGTATGAATTTCTGGATATGTGATAGGTTGTGCAGAGGGTAAGTATATTAAAAATTGCCATATCTGTTAACCAGTATGCCCTCAGAAGATTAGTACCTTTTTAGTTCTCCCCAGCAGCATTCATGACGTTTCTCGCTCCCCTTTGTTAATAAAGTATCCTTAGATGTTAATTTCTGTCAATCTGATAGTGGTAAAATTTTGGTTTTTATTTATATTTATCTAAATACTAATGAAGTTATTTTTATCAATCATTTGTATTTCTTAGTTCATTAATTTCCAATTATCCTTGTTCACTTGTTCCTGTATTTCTCTTACATATTTATGTTATGAACTTTTTATATGTAAGGGATATTTACCATTTGTCATGTATGGTATAAGTGATTTTCTCAAGCCTTATGTGTTTGGGAATGGATTTTTATTTTTAAACATACAGAAGTCTTAAACTCATGTGTAGATGTATTTTCTTTCATTTATGGATTGAGACATTGATATTGTAGAAAAGCCTTACCCATTCCAAGATTATGTAATCTTCCATTTTAATGGATGTTTAAAATATTGAGATCTTTGAGCCACTGGAATTCTAATAAAGGTATATTGTAGTAATTTCACTATAGTCAAATGCTAAAAGGTAGCTATTTTACAAAAACATTAAAATTCATTTAAACACTTAAGTAATTGATATATTTTTCCTTTTTTTGTGTAAAATTTTAAACCATTAATATTGTTTGTCCTAAGTTTTGGGTCTATGGCACAATGTGGACACCTATTAAAACCTGAACTAATGAAAGTGATTTTTAACTTTGTCAGGTAGGCCTTACTAACACTGCGTATGGGGGAGGGGGGGGTTGGGGGGGTTCTCCTCTCCTGCCTTAGAAATTTAAGGACTGGAACCATGTCTGATTCATCTTTGCATCTCCCATTCCCAGCCATCTGTGACACAAACAATGGTTGTTCTTCACTTGTGTGACAGGCACTGGTCACTGGAGAAACAGAAGAATAAGTGGCTGTCCCTGCCAAGGGGCTTGCCCTGTGATGAGAAAGTCAGCCAGCCGCATGTCTAATACTGCAGCCCACTGCTGCGATGAGCACATACTCTGGGGAGATGGGGATTGAGGAAGTCCTCACAGAGGAATCATGCTTGACTTGTGTCACTAGGATTACATTGGGCCCCAAAAAGTCACTCTACAAATGCAGAGGAATGCAGGACATTTCAGTGACTTGCAGCTTGTGTTTGAGATGGCTGGAGCATAGGGTACATATCCATCTATCTGTCAGGGGCTAAGACTAGAAAGATAGACAGGAACTAGATTAGTGCTAATGCAGAAGCTACACGCTCAGAATAAACCCTTCTTAACAGCTTCAGTGCACAGATCATGTACCAGATTATGTGTGGTGGGATTTAAACGTACAGTTGATAATGAACATTGACGTTTCTTGGATTATGCTATATTGATGATTTTTCTTACTTCCTGAAACAGGAGAGTTCTCATTCTGGGAGGACCTCGTTGTTGCTCTAATAGTGGTTGAAGACTAACTCCCAGAACATTGCCTGACCTCTGACCTGTCAGCATGGGCAGGTGAGTGACGGTGCCTAATCACTGTGTGGAAGCCCGAGATTTTTGATGCCACAGAAACAGATTTTGAGGGGGAGGAGGATATAAATCCTAAGTGAAAAGTATTCAAAGTTGTGCTGCACTTCCGTTATATACCGTTGTTCTTTCAGGGCCCATGGGCACCTGTCACAGAAAGAAAGTGATAGTGCCAGGTGGATTCTGCAGGAGTTAATGTAGTTTCTCATAAAGGGCATGTTGTGTTAGAATCTGTAACAGGTTGGGTTAAGCACAGGATAACTGTCTCTGAGCCTCAGAGGGGATGATAAACTCCATGGACTGGCCCAAGAACCCTCATGCAGGCTAGAAACTACAAATGGAAATTTCCATTGGGTTAGTAGGGTACCTCACTCTTCTGTGAGTCCGTGAAGAACTCTAGAGGGGAGAGTGTAGAAATTAACTGGAAAACAATAAAATTTATCCTAAAGTTAGCAAGTTGTTTTTTTTTTTAAGCCTAATGAAGCCTTTCATTCCTGACATAAACTGAGAAGTGTTTATTTGCAGAAATGTTTCAGGAATATTTCCAAAAACACAGGACATACATAGGTCATTTATTGACTTTGTTATGGGGATGTTTTTAAAGATATCATTTTCTCACTTACTCTTCAGGGAGAGATTTGCCTTGGAATTCAGTGTTAGGAAAATCTTACTCCTTTTAAGATATTTGTTTTCGTAATCTAATTGGCAACATTATTGGCCATGAGGATGCTCAGCCACTGTTTAAGACCTACCTTCTTACATGCATTCCTATGTACTAAATTGTCTTTTGGTTTCATCATCCTTAAACCTGATTGTGTTTTAGATTTATTTGTTTATGTTATTGAACTTATTCTTGTAAGCTGTCTCTAATTTTTTGGAACAAAACAGGGTACAGATAATCTGCATAATTCTCTCAAGAAAGGGGGGAAAAAACAGAAGTGTCATAACCATCAATATTAATTCTCATTCATATAATTTTATAATATGAGCCGCTTAGTGACAAAGATACTATCTGAGAAATGCATTGTTAGGCAGTTTCATCATTGTGCAATCACAGAGTGCACTTACACAAGCCTACATGGTATGTCCTACCATATACCTATCCTGTTGCTCCTAGACTACAAGCCTGTATGTCACTGTACAAAACAACACAAGATTAAATCAAGCACAAGATAAGATGATGCATTCAAGAGATGCGGTAAGCAGGAGATATATAAGGCTGCTGTGTGCATAACATGAGATACTGTTTTACAGCAAACTTTTTTTATAAGTAGGAAGTACTCTAAAGTAACGATAAAAATATAGTATGTAAATACATAAACCAGTAACAGTCATTTCTTATCAAGTATTATGTACTGTGCACAAATGCATGTGCTTCACTTTTATACAATTGGCAGCACAGGGAGGATCACACCAGCATCACCACAAACATGAGTAATGAGTTATTGCACTGTGTCATCATTAGGTGATGGGAATCTTTCAGCTTCATTATCATCTTATGGGACCACTGTCATATAGGCAGTCTGTCATTGACTGGAACATCTTTATGCAGCACGTGACCGTAATGAGTTATGTAGCAAAGTAGTAATATGGAGGGTGCTGGTATACCGATGCCTGTCAGCAGGGAAGTCAGGGCAGCTCAAACTGAATGTCTTGTTTTGGATCAGTTTAGGTGAAGGGAGTACTCTTTGGAGCAGATTGCTTTAAAATCTGTTTTGTTTTGGTTTTTTTGGAATTTCAGACTTGGCATCTCCTGTCTTTTTCCCGCTTCCTGGCATTTTAGCATCTCTCCAGTGGGATGTCCTCGAATTTTGAATACCAATTTACGCCAAATTGTTGTTATTAGTATTCTGGCTGCTGCTGTTTCACTTTTATACTTCTCTGTTGTCATAATCCGAAATAAATATGGGCGACTATCCAGAGACAAAAAGTTTCAAAGGTAAGAGAATACAAACCATTTATTTTCTAGATGGGATGCCATACCTTCATTTCATGGCTTCAAGACTTTGGGATTAGGTGGCATTGAAGGAGCCTGTAGCCGTAGGAAACAGATGCTGCACTGAATACAGCATGGCATGAAAAATTAAACTGTCTGAAACTGTTTAATCATTAACCACCAAATCCTCCTCATCAGAGGATTTAACATAAGCTTCTGTGATATCTTTTAAGCTGATTTTTCAGTTAATATTGATAGTTGGGAAGTAATTTTACTTTTCAGAACTTGTTTGAACATTTAAAGGAATAATGAGTGTATCTGATTTAGATTATCTTTTTCACTGTCACTTGTTTTGTTTTCCTCTGACTGATCATTTGGCAGTTGTAAAATGTTATATTGGTGTCACTGCACTTAGAAATCACCGACTTGGTGTTTGTTTATTGCACTTGCTCCTTTAGGTTTAGAATGATATTCTCTGTCTCAAAAGTATATGTTTGTTGTTCTAAACTAGGTACTTGGCACGAGTTACTGACATTGAAGCTACGGATACCAATAACCCCAATGTGAACTATGGTATCGTGGTGGACTGTGGTAGCAGTGGGTCTCGAATATTTGTCTATTGCTGGCCCAGGCATAATGGCAATCCTCATGACCTGTTGGATATCAGACAAATGAGGGATAAAAACCGAAAGCCAGTGGTTATGAAAATAAAACCAGGTATGTAAGTGATAAATATCTGACTGATATCCAGGTTCTGTCCTTTCATTCTCTGTGATGTTTCACATTTTTCCTTTTCTCTCATAGCAGGACCCAGTTGTTCTCCTTGTTTTACTTTTTTCACTTCCTTTATTTTTTTCTATCCTTCTTGCATAAGGCGACTAACACCTTATTAAAATATCCAAACACCATGTCTTTCTTACATCTTCTGCAGCATTTACCTTATTCATGGTGTCTACTCAAATGTTTGCAAATTGACATTAATTATGGAAGGATTTTTCCCCCCTATTCAGTAGCCAGTGGTCTTACTCCTTAATGACAAGGCAATTTCAGATAACTCATAAAAATATGTTCTCAAAATAATACATTAGTATATGTTTGTCATTTTAAAACTTGCTGCCCCAGTGTATTTCTAATTATCTAGATTATTTAATAAAGATGACCATAAAACTGAGAAGAGCTGGATTTCATTATGTCCAGCTTTTGTTTTTGTTTTTATAATTCCGCACCCAAGGATAATTTTTCCATTATTTTGTGTGTGTTTTTTTTAAGAGAAGGGAGTGGGGAGGGAGGGAAACACTGAGAGACATCAATTGGTTGCCTCCTGCACGCGCCCCAACCAAGGCCAGGAATCAAACCTGTAACCCAGGTACATGCCCTTGCCCAGCAATCAAACTCGAGAGAGACCCTTCAGTTCATGGGCCAACGCTCTAACCACAGAGGATACTGGTCAAGAATATGTCCAGTTTTTAAAGATATACAATTTCTAAGTCAGTGAGTTATAGAAAAATTGAGATGTGCCTTCCCTGTCAGATAATTTACATAAGTAATTCTAACCCTTTTGTTGTTGTTGTTGTTATCTATATAATTTGTACAGGCAGCACACTTCTTCAATAACATTAGGAATGGAAGGTGTCAGGACCTTGAAATAGGCATTTTATGTCTTGATAGTTGATAATCACTGATTTAAAACAGTGAACCAAAGACACTAGAGATTCACTACTTTAATTTCATCTTGTCAGTCATGTTAGATTGTAAAATATTAAACCCAAACAACCCAAGGAATTTATTTTTAAAATATATTGAATGTTGATTAAAAAAAATAATCATCATAATCATCTCCTATTTCAAAAACAAGTGAAAAGGAGCTTCAGTTTTGTTTTTAACTTTTTATTTATTGATTTGAGAGAGAGAGAGAGAAACAGACAGACATTGGTTTATTGTTCTACTTACTAGTATTTATACATTCATTGGTTGCTTCTTATATGTATCCTGACCAGGGATTGGACCTGCAACCTTGGTGTACCAGGACGAGGTTCTAACCAGCTGAGTTACCTGGCCAGGGAGGGACCTTCAATTGTAACATAAAAGAATACTTGTCCTCATAAAATGGTAATTACATAGACTGTAGACCCCTTGAGTCTTACCCATTCTCCATTGAATAATTCAGGCACCACTTCCTTCTGCAGGCAACCCTCAACAAGTTATTGTCCCTTGATGTTTGGGCATTGGCACCAGCATAGTGCTGAGAAAACTCAAAATCTCTACTTCATTTTTTAAGATAAAGAGAGGGAACTTAATTTGAGTTCTTGTCGCAAGCATTATTTTGAATCAGAGTACATTTTTTGTTAACAAAGATAATTTTTTCTCTAAGTCTTTGTGGATGACTTTTAATTATTACTTTTCTATTTTTCTACCCCTGAAATTTTTGTGTATTCCTAATCCAGAAACATTTTTAGGGTTAAAGTAATATTGATCAAATGAAAAATTCAGCTGGATTTTAAAAACAAACTATATAGCACTTGTTATAGCTTGAAGTAGACCATCAAGAACCTTTTTAATAGCTCTTCTGTATCTGGAAGCATGGTCTCTCATTTACAGCATTACAGCAACACTTATCTGTCTGGATCCACAAATTCCTAGTCTGTGAAGTAAGGAATTTTTGGACTTCTAAAATTCCCCTCATCTTTAGTATTGTAGGCTCAGGAATATTCACTACTTATGTATTCATTCAGCAAATATTTGCTGAGCACCTACTATTTTCTAGACACTGTTAGTGCTAAGAATATAAATTTGAACAAGACACAGTTTGTGCCCTTGAGAAACTTCCAGTTGAAATGAGACAAGCAAGTTAATAGGTAGGTAATTTTGATAAGGTAATGAATGCTTCGACTACAGGTAAAGAGAGCTCATCTTCAGGGATCTGCTGGTGCAGACTTCCATAGAGCAGTAGCTCTGGATGAGGAGCAGTTAGCCAGGTGAAAAGAAGTGGGAAGTGGGTAGGGAGGCAAAGAAAGGGCTATTCCTGGTGGGGGTACAGTAGCCATAAAGCAGAGTATGATGTAGAAATTTTATTCAAAATAGTTGAAGCCAAATGGAAGGAATGTGGGGAGAGACAGGATGGGTGAGTATGCAGAGCAGGTTATGATGCCATTCTAGAGTTGAGCTTTATCTGGGGGGCATTGAGGAGCCCAGAGGATTTTAAGTCAGAAAGAGACCCCTTTTGCATAGGAAATGATCGGGGAATTTCAAGACTGGGCAGTAGGATGTGTAGGCTGGCAGAGGGTGGGGGTATTCAAAACAGATGAAGAGAAGTGAAAAAATGTGAGAGGAACCAAGGAGAGGCAATGGATGAAACCCACAATACATATTGGGATGAGGGAGAGAAATTTTATTTAGGATATCAGCTTGGGCCACTGGATGGCTAGTGATAGTGGTCACTGAGGCGGGTCACAGGCAGTAAGAGCAGGTTTATTGTTGAGTCCAGATTTGAGTTGTGAGCGGGTGGTGAGCCTTGTTCACTGGGCAGTAACCACACACTGATCTGCAGATTGGAGGAGAGATCTGATAGGAGAAATCTGATGGTGATGCCAGCCATGAGAGTGAGGGAAGTGGGAGCTCTTTCCCAAGGCAGCAGTGAGCTCCTGTGCAATCAACTCCAAGCGTTTGACACATATGATGCTCAGTTAGGTCTGTGATTTTTGATGAGTAAGAATAAGAGGATGTGGGACTGAACGTTTGGTACCATCATTTGAGGAGGAGAAACTGAAAGGTGTTGCCAGAGGGATAGGAAAAAACAAGGAAAGTATGGTGGATAGCTTGAATTTCTCTCAAATTAGCCTCATTGAAGAAGTATAACTTACTAGCTGAAATATCTGCTTGTTAACAGAGGTGTCCTTTTTCTGTAGGCATTTCAGAATTTGCTACCTCTCCAGAGAAAGTCAGTGATTATATTTCTCCGCTCCTCAACTTTGCTGCAGAGCATGTGCCACGGGCAAAACACAAAGAAACCCCTCTCTACATTCTTTGCACAGCTGGCATGAGGGTCCTTCCTGAAAGGTGAGAGCAGTCCAGGCCTGTGGTGGTAGTGATGGTGGTGGTGGTGGTGGTGGTGGTGGTGGTGGTGATGGTATATTTTCCTCCTCATTTCCCTCCTGTTGCTTTTCCTCTTCCTTTTCCTCCTCTTCCATCATCATCACCAAAAGGAAGACATTTAAATTTCTTTTTTGAAATATAGAATAGTGGCAGAACTATTTCCTAGCTAGAACTCACTGTCTTTTAATATATTTGTTTATGACTGTAAATAGTAAACTATAAAGTTGTCATTTAAAAAATTGGTTTTCTATATTATTAGTTTAAGGATTTGTAGTTTTATATTTAAGAATCACATAATATACAGGTGAAAATTCATTCATTGTTCCACTTGAAAATTCATTCCTAAAATAAACAATCTTTTCAATGAATTGCTTTGGTTTTAAACTATATAGGATATACCAGAGCAGTAGTGTGTGTATGGGGGGTGGGGGATGGGGGTGCCCTTTTTAAAAACAAAAATTCAGTATGTCATGTTTTGATATGTACAATTTTGGATTGTCTTACAGCCAGCAGAAAGCCATCTTGGAAGACCTTCTGACTGATATCCCTGTGCATTTTGACTTTCTGTTTTCTGACTCTCATGCAGAAGTAATTTCAGGGAAACAGGAAGGTTGGTATATTGGTCTTCACTTTGAAATTTAGGAAACTTGCTTTAAATCCTCCATTTCCCACTGTGTATACTTTATTAAATTACTCCTAATATCTTAAAATTTGGAAAACCATAGCTTTGAAATATTATAATTTTTAAATGTTTAAATTAGTTTCTCACATAGCTGACCTTTATTATCCAAACATTAAGCCATTGCAAAAATAATTTATCTTCACCACATGTAGGAAATGAATTTTAAACTCCTTTTGATAGAAAAGTTTTGTGCTCCTTGCCTAAGATATACAGCTTTCTGGAATTACAATAATTACTGAGCTATTGGAGCCTTTTATTGATTTTCTCTCTAGGAAGGGAAAATTATTCTTGACTTTGATACACTGAGAAAATATTAGTTCTGTTTTCAAAGAAATGATTTCTTTGTAAATTAAATAACAAGTCAGTGACATTATTTGATTAATAGCTTGTTAGAAATGGAAATAAAAAACATTTATTTCAAAGTCATCTATCATTTTAGCAAATGCCTCCTCTATGAAAGACACTGTAGAGAATACAGAATTGGGTGAAATATGGACATTGCCATTGTTATGTTTACAAACAAGAGAGGTACACAATTAACTGCTATATGAGTTACAGTTTTAGATACCTTAAGGAAGGTAAGGAAAAAAGATCATGGGAATTTGAAAGAGGAAGACTTTTTATTTCTAGCTAAGGGCATCATGGAGAAAATGGCATTTGAACTAATGAGGTAGTTATAGCATGCCAGAGCATGGCATAGGTAGGGCTCTGAGAGGGCACATTCCAGACAGAAGAAATTGTTTGAGTCAACACAGGTCGAAAAAGCTGCACTATAGACGGAGGAACAAAAATATTTTAGTTTGACTGCATTATGGCCCTTTTGAAGGTGTTAATAATAGAAAAAGTTGGACAGGTCTTGGTGACATCATCACCATGGCAGCGTGAATCATTCCTTCTTTCTCTCCCCTTTGATTTATAATTAGACATTTAAAACAACACAAACACACACACACACACAGCACCTCTGCATAGCACATGAGGGCACCTGAAAGATCTATTCATCTGTCTACCAGAAAGTGGGTGGATTGAATCCTAGAGGAGGCTGTGGAGCCAGGGCGTAGTGGCAGGGGGTGTGCGGCAGGCCAGGACAACCTTTCTGGTAGAGGAGGTGGAGGATGAAGATGGTGAGTGAGGGTCTCTCTGGCTGTGTGTGCTGCAGCTGGAGGAACCTGTTGTCTCTGAGAAGACATCACAATGACTGGGGGTAGGGAAAAGGCAAAGAGAACACCCATGGATATCAGGAACACCCCTCACTCGAGGGTAGCCCTCTCTGTTCTGTGGATACACCCAAAACATCAAATGCTCAGCACACACTTCCCCTAACTCAGTGGCCACTCTTCTCCCTCAATACCCCCCCCCCCCCCCATCAACTTTTTTTTATGAGCATGCTGCCAACCTACCGAGCTCCGGTAAGAGAAACCAAAAACTTGTGCTATAGTGCCACCTTCTGGAAAATAAAAGAAAGTACTCTACTTACGAACTTGTTGAATTGTTAGATTCAAAATAAACCAAGCTTTACCTAGATAAGAAAGATATTCACTACTTGAAATGCTCAGCAGAGATACTTTCATCAAACACCATAATCACTGTAATATAATATCACAAAAAGAAAATGATAATTTTCTAGTAACTGAACACAAAGACATGGACTATTGTGATCTAATTGATAAAGAATTCAAAAAAGCTGTTATGAAGAAATTCAGCAAGCTACAGGAATACTCAGGCAATGAAATGAAATCAGGAATAAAATTAATGAACAGGAGTACTTTACAAAAGAGACTGAAATTCTAAAAAAAGAAATTCTGGAGCTGAAGAACTCAGTAAATGAGATAAAGTATTGTGGGGAAAAGCATATCAGATGGAAGAGAGAATAAACGGGTCAATACATCAAGAAGCTATGGCATAAATATACAGGATGTCCGCCAAAAATGTATGCACACTTCAACAGCCAATAGCTCAGTTTTGAAAATGAAATGTATTTTAATAAACACTGCCTTTATAGTTATTCAAAATGTGTGTATATATTTTTTGGGACATCCTATTTATGCTCCCAATGCCTGAGCACCAAAATATATTAAGCAAATATTAGCAGATCTTAAGGAAAAAATAGGTAATAATACAATAATACAGTGGACTTCAATACCACACTATCAGCAATCACAGACTGTTCTGACAGAAAATCAAGAAAATGTTGGAATTGAACCACAAGTTAGAACCAATTTACCTAACAGACATCTACAGAACAATCCAGGCAACAACTGACTACATATTCTTCTCAAGTGCACATGGAACATTCTCTAGAATAGATTATCTGAATTTTAGCAAATTTTAAGAAGATTGAAGCCATACCAACTATCTTTTCTGACCACAGTGGTATAAAGTTAAAAGTCAACAAGAGGAAAGTGAGAAAAATCTACAAATATATGGAAACGAAACAACATTCCAAACAATGATGGATCAAAGAAATCAAAAGGGAAATAACTGTCTTGAAACAAATAAAAATGGGAATACAACATAACAGATATCCTGGGATATAGCAAAAACAGTTCTGAAGGGAAAGTTTATAGCAATAAACACATATATTAAGAAATTTGAAAGACCTCAAATAAACAACCTAACTTTACACTTTAAGGAACTAGAAGAATCCAGCCCAAAGTTAGTAGAATGAAGGAAATAAGATCAGAGCAGAAATAAATGAAATAGGCACCAGAGAATAAAAAAGATAACAAAACTGGTACTACAGAAATGCATACAATCAAAAGAAACTATTATGAACAATTACATACCAACAAATGATATACTAGAAGAAATGGATATACTTCTGGAAACATAACCTACCAAAACTGAATCAGCATGAAATAAACAATATGAACAACCAATAACGAGTACAGAGATTGAATCAGTAATCAACTCCCAACACAGAAAACCCAGAGTCAAATGGCTGAGAATTCTACCAAACATTTAAAGAATGAACACCAACCCTCATCAAACTCCTCCCAAAATATCAAGGACAAGAGAACACTCCAAAGCTCACTCTATGAAGCATTACCTTGACAAAACCAGATAAGGATACAAGAAAAGAAAACTGTAAACCAATATCCTGATGAATATAGATGCAAAAATTCTCAACAAAATATTAGCAAACTAGTATCAAGAGCACATTATGCCCCATGACCAACTGGGATTTATTCCCGAGACAACAAGGATTCAACATATGCAAATCAAAAAATACTTAATACTTTAATAAAATGGAAGATGAAAATAGCATGATTATCTCAGTAGACACAGGAAAAGCATTTGGTAAATTACAGCATTTGTTTATGAAAAACCCTTAATAGATTGGTTATACCTCAACATAATAAAGGCCATATATGACAAACCCATAGCTGGCATTGTAGTCAATGGGGAAAAATTAATGTATTTCCTCAAGAACAAGGTAAGGATGCCCGCTCTTATCACTCTTATACAATACTAGAGGCCCGATGGATGAAATTTGTGCAAGGGGCTCAGCCCTTGCAGCTGAGGCAGCTGCCCTTGTCCAGAAGGTTGTCCAGGTCATATAGCTGTCTGGTCTAATTAGCATATTAGCATATTTTATTATTATAGATAGTACTGGAAGCCTAGCCAGAGCAATTAGGTAAGACAAAGAAATAAAAAGCATCCAAATTATAAAGGAAAAGGTATAATTGTCACTATTTGCTGATGATATATATAGAAAATTCCAGAGAATCATTCAAGAAATTGACTAGTCATTGAGTCAACATTTTCTGTAAAGTGGCAAGATACACAATACACAGAAATCAGTTGTATTCCTTTAATGATGAAGCATCTGAAAAAAGAAATAATAGCATCAAAAGCAAAAATACTCAGGAATAAATTTAACCAAGAAAGTGAAATACCTGTACAATGAAAACTATAAGACTTTGCTGAAAGAAATAAAAAAAGACAAACAAATGGAAAAACAGTATGTGTTTGTTTGTGGATCAGAATAATTTATATTTTTAAAATGTCCATACTACCCTGAGCCATCTACAGATTCAGCATAGTCCCCATGAACATGAAAATACCAAAGGCATTATTCTTCACAGAAATAAGACAGTTCTTAAATGTGTATGGAACTATAAAAGACCCTGAATAGTTAAGGCAATCCTGAGAATAAAAGAACAGAGCTGGAGGTATTACACTTCTGTATTTCAC